GACAGCTTGAGACCCTGTCTCAAAAATAAATAAATGAATAAATAAATAAGTACAAAAAATAAACTAAAAAGAGTACCAAAAAACAGGCAAATTAAGTTTTTGTTTGTTTTTCTGAGAAAATCTCACTCTGTCACCCTGAATAGAGTGCTATGTTGTCATAGCTCACAGCAACCTCAAACTCTTGGGCTCAAGTGATCCTCTTGCCTGAGTACCTGGGACCATAGGCGCCCACCACTATTCTGGGCTAGTTTTACTGGTTTTTGTTGTTGTTGTTGTTATTGTTGTTGCAGTTTTTGGCTGGGGCTGGATTTAAACCCACCACCTCTGGTATCATGGGGCTGGTGCCCTACTCCTTTGAGCCACAGGTGCTGCCCAGCTAGTTTTATTCTTCTAGTAGAGACAGGGTCTCACTCTTGCTCAGGCTGGTCCTGAACTCCTGAGCTCGGGCGATCCACCTGCCTCGGCCTCCCAAAGTGCTAGGCAAATTAAGTTTTAATATATATTTATGGCTGAGTAAGGTGGCTCACACCTATAATCCTAACACTTTGGGAGGTAAAGGCAGGAGGATGGCTTGAGCTGAGAAGTTGGAGACCAGCCTGAGCAACACACTGAGACCCTACCTCTACAAAAAGATTTTTAAAAATATAGCATGTGGCTGTAGTTCCAGCTACTTGAGAGGCTAAAGCAGGAGGAATTGAGTCAGGAGTATGAGGTTGCAGTGGGCTGTGATGATACCACTGCACTATAGCCTGGGCAACAGGCTAGACCCACCTCAAGAAAAAAAGAAAAAGAAAATGAATATTTTGTTTAATCTGATATATCCAAAATTTTACCACTTCACTGTGTGATCAATAGAAAAAATTATTGGCTCCATGCCAATATTCAATCAGGGGTTAGAGTGCCAGCCATATACATCAGGGTTGGAGGGTTCAAACCCAGCCCAGGCTTGCCAAACAATGACAACTGCAACAAAAAATAGCTGGGCATTGTGGCAGGCACCTGTAATCCCAGCTACCTGGGAGGCTGAGGCAAGAGAATCTTTTAAGCCCAAGAGTTTGAGGTTGCTGTGAGCTGTGACGCCATGGCACTCTACCAAGGGCGAATTAGTGAGACTCTTGTCTCAAAAAAAAAAAAAAAAAAAGGCTTGGCACCTGTGGCTCAAGTGGCTAAGGTGCTAGCCCCATACACCTAAGGTGATGGGTTGGAATCCAGTCCGGGCCCACCAAACAACAATGACGGCTGCAACCAAAAAATAGCCGGGTGTTGTGGTGGGTGCCTGTAGTCCCAGCTACTTAGGAGGCTGAGGCAGGAGACTGGCTTGAGCCCAGGAGTTGGAGGTTGCTGTGAGCTGTGATGCCACAGCACTCTACCCAGGGGGCCAGCTTGAGGCTCTGTTTCAAAAAAAAAAAAGAAAAGAAAAGAAAAGAAAGAAAAAATTATTAGTGAGCTATTTTGGCTTCTTTTTTTCTGTAGTCATCCAAATCTGGCGTATATTTTCCACTTAGAGCACATCTCAATTTAGACCAAAGATATTTTAAGTGCTCAATAGTCACAGGAGGCTAGTTACCCTTGCATTGGACCACATAGGGTGAAAAAGCAAAGCAGCAGCAGGTTTGGGCAAGACTTTGGGGAAGATGGGGAACTCAGTTGTGGACTTGTTGATATGAGGTCCTGAGGGACACTCAAGGGGAAGTGTCCAAAAGACAGTGGGTGTTTAGGTCTAGAACAAGGTGGGGGGGAGGCAGGATGATGGGATGGCCTAGGAAGGCTGTCCTTTTAACAGAGGAGAGAGACAGAGGGAAGCCAGAGACTCTCAGACACTAACTTTCAGGCAGAGGCAGAACAACCATCAAAGATAACAGGGCCAGTGGCCCATGCCTGTAATCCTAGCACTTTGGGAGGCCAAGATAGGCGGATCACCTGAGGTCATGAGTTTGAGACCAGCCTGAGCTACAAGGAGACCCCATCTCTAAAAATAGCTAGGCATTATGGTGGGACCTGCAGTCCTGCTCCTCAAGAGGCTGAGGCAAGAGAATCTCTTGAGCCCAAGAGTTAGAGGTTACTGTGAGCTATGATGCCAGAGCACTCTACTAGGGTCAACAAAGTGAGACTCTGTCTCAAAACAAACAAAAACGAAACAAGGATAAGGGACAATCTGAGCTGCCCACCGTTAAGGGGCAAGTTTTAACAGGGATGGGTAGGAGTGGGGCACGACAGTATTGAAACAATGAGGATGGAGGAAAAGATTTTTCTTAGGAATGGGGGAGATAGGACGATGTGTTTGTAAGCCCTGATGACACCTGTGGGGATGAATGTGTATAGGGAGTGTCGGGTGCCCGTTGGCTGGCTGGGGGCTCTAAGTGCCACCACCCTGCTCAGGAACAGTGTTGGGCTCAGGGGAGACGGGTGCTCAAAAAACACTGGCTGAATGAATGAATTCTTGACTGAATGATACTAAGGGAGTCTTCTACCTCCTCAAACGAAAGAGGAGGCGGCACCCAGTGGGGTAGGCAGGGCTCTGGAGGTGGTCACCTGGACGCCTGATGTTGCTCCCTCCACCTAGGGCACTTTCCAGCAGATGTGGATTTCCAAGCAGGAATACGAGGAGGGCGGGAAGCAGTGCGTGGAGCGGAAGTGCCCCTGAGAGCATCCCCTCCCCACACACTGGGGTGTTATACCCGCCGGGCCTCCACAGGCTCAGATCGAAGCCCTCCACCCCCAAGTCTACATCACCCCCCTCCTTTTTCTCTCTCCTCTTCTTAAGTTGTGATGTTTCTGGATTGAAAGAAGTAAAAAGGTTTTAACAAAAACAAGTTTGGCTTCGTGGGCAGTGGACGCAGGGGTCTGGAGGGAAGCAAGGGGAGGGCCACACCTATACTCAACGCAGATCCCACGATAGACGCCATAGGAACCACAGATTCTGCAGGTTCGGGAGGGGTCGCGAACCAGGGAGGATCAAGCAGCGGGGACTAGGCGGAGAGCCAAGTCAGGGAGGAAAGGGCTGCAGGAAGGCCTGTGTTGTCTCTGGCCGGCTTGGAACGCGCGGGACCTGGAATGGGCGGGCCCGGGCCCGAGATTGGCGGGTTCAGGACCCGGATCGGGGCTGGGGTGGGCGGGGTCTGAGCGCCAGCCTCTGGTTTCAGGGGAGCATCCGCGTAAGCTCCCTAGAACCTGCATCTCAGGTGAGTCCGGGCTGCTCTGTACCTTCCCGGGACTCTTGGCGGTAACAAGCATGGGAGGGAGACTGGGACACGAGTGCGCTCCAGCAGCTCAGACCTTCTCTTTGGTGTTGGGTAGGAGCTGAGGTTTCTCAGGGAAGACCCTGAAGGGGGAGGGTTGGAGGAACCCTTGAGTCCTCCCATTCAGAATTTGTCCTGGGGTTCTAGGCGGGGCTTAGGGTCCTGCGCTCCCTGCCTGAAATTGTAGGTAAAACTTAGTTGTTAGTGACTGTGATGTGTTGCTGGGGTGAGGTTACCTGGCTTTTCATTAAACTCTTAGAGGGTCCCAGCCCCTAAAGAGGAAGAAACCTGCGTGATCCAAGTCCTTTGGCGACCAAAGAGGTGTCTGTATTCAGGGAGGACTCCACACCTTGACTCGAACTCTTTCCACCTCCTCCAGTATTACCCTGACTCACAGATCCCTGACTGCAGGAACCCCATTCCTGGACATTCACTGGTCCTGCCTGACCACGTGCTACCACCCATGCCTGTCCCTTCCCAGCAACCAGTGAGGTCTGAGACCAGCCTTTCTACCTGATCATAAAGAGACAAATATCCACCTGGCCAGACCAAACCCCCAAGTCACACCACTATGGCACCTCCAGCTTAGGATCTCACTGGGGCAGGCATTAGGACAGGGAGGACAGTCAATGTGTTACATCACCTGGGCACTGGGGACTTGAGACCAGATAAGGAGGAGGCAGATGTCCATGTTGAACCCTCCACTCAGGTGTGGAGGCCTTCGGAAGGGTCTCCAAAGACACAGAAATGGAAGCAGTAAAAGGGAGGGGGCATCAATATCTCCACCCTCCCCTACAAACAAGCTCCCCTCCCCCACCTATGACGGGAACCAGGAGGCCAAAGTCTGCCCCAAGGTCAAAAAATCGATTGTTTTACAGGGAGGGGACAGGAGTGGGACTGTGGAAGGATTGGTGGAGGAGGGCACAGCCCCTCGTGCTCTGACCTGGGCTGATGGGGCCATGTCTGGAAGGTTGGACTGAGGCCAGGCCTGTGTCCCCACCCTTGGTAGGGGGAGCAGCTTGCATTCAGGCTGCCTGCCAGGGCTGATAAGGGGCCCTCCTAGAGCTCCCACAAACGGTTTATCACTGGGGGGGAACCGCCTGCAGAGTTCAGGAAGGGGCATGACCATGGAGCGGCTTTGGGGTCTACTGCAGAGAGTGGTAAGATCAACAGGGTTTGGGGGATACCTTAGGCCTTTATCCAGGTCCCTCAGCCCTCACCTAAGCCCCTCAAGCTGGCCCCTCTTGGCTAGTGCCCTGGCCTCACCTCTTCCCACCTCTGTCCCTCCCTTCTATCCTGCCTTTCAGACACCTCCCCATCCCACCTGCTTATGTGGCACCCCAAAGTCACTGTTCCCATGATTGCCCGATTCCTGTCCGTCTTCCAGGCCCCTTCCCCCAACATCATGCCCATCCTGCCCCTACAGCAACAGCTATCCCCAGGACCCTCTCAGACCATCTATAAGCGTGTGGAAGGCACTCAACAGGGGTACCTGGAGGAAGAGGAAGACAGGGAGGAGGGGGCCGAGCCACTGGCCCACTTCTTCCCCATGGAGCTGAGGGGCCCTGAGCCCATGGGCTCTAGACTAGAGCAGCAAAACCTCATACCCTGGGCAGCAGCAGGACGAAGGGCTGCCCCCTACCTGGTCCTGACAGCCCTACTGATCTTTACTGGGGGTGAGTCATCCACCCTGGCAGTGAAGGGCTTGGGCTGGGGGAGATTTCTGGGATCCAGAGGGGGGCATAAGGAGAATCCCCATCTTGCCACCTGCCAGCCTTCCTTCTGGGATATGTGGCCTTCCGAGGGTCCTGCCAGGCATGCGGGGACTCCTTATTGGTGGTCAACGAGGACATCAACTATGAGCCAGGCCCAGACTCCAAACAGGGCACCTTGTACTGGAGTGACCTCCAGGCCATGTTCCTGCGGCTCCTAAAGGAGGGGTGCCTGGAGGACACCATCAGGTAGGGATGAGCCTGTCCCACTCCAAGCCGCAAATATCCTCCCTTCATGCACTCAGACTGGGCTTCCTTTCCTCCTTGCTGAGGGTGCTGCTGTCTGGGTCCTCCTCTTGAGTCCTTCTGCTTGCCTTCCTGTTCTCCCTGTTCAGCAGTCCTGGGAGGATGGCAGGCATGTGGGGCTGAAATTCCAGGGGGCTCAGATTTTCAGGTGGCATATTTGGAAGACAAGGGAAATGACTGAGAACAGAGAGGTCCAGCAGCCAACACAATGCAGGAAAGACCATAAAAGTCTTGAATGCTGCTGGGCTTGGTGACTCACTCCTGTAATCCTAGCACTTTGGGAAGCAGAGGCATGCAGATCACCTGAGCTCAGGAGTTCGAGACTAGCCTGAGCCAGAGTGAGACCCCATGTCTACTACAAACAGAAAAACTAGCTGGATGTTTTGGTAGGTGCTGTAGTGCAAGGTACTGGGAAAGCTAAGACAGGAAGATCTCTTGAGCTCAAGAGTTTGAGGTTGCTGTGAGCTATGACAACAGGGCACTCTACTCACTCAGGAGTTCTGGGGTGCTCTGAGAGGGGACATTCTAGTCATTGTAAAAAATGAGCAAGCACATACATTTGTGGTCATAGTTGCCCCCATTTACATCATGGGGGATGCCAGACACACACTGTATAGGCCAGACACAGGACACTCTGGACTGTTGTCCTTCATCCTGCTGCGGTCACCTTCCCCTTCTGGAGAGAAACTGCCCTGACAGGTCCAGAAGACAGGTCCACCCATAGCTCTCTTTCAGATCAGGAGTAGTTTTTCAGTGGATTCGCCTGGGTTTTCTAAGTAATCATCTAAGTTACAGAGAGTAGGAGATGCATATTCTCTTTTCCAATGCTTATACCTTTTATTTTTTTAAATTTATTACTGCATTTGAGAGGACATGAATTTAGGTAACAGTGACAGTAGATATCTTTGCCTGTTTCCTGACTTTAATACAAATTTTTTTATAATACTTTGTCATCAAGTATTAACTTTGCTGCAAACCGCAGATGGGTGTTTGTTGTTATTTGTTTTTGTAGAGATGGGGTCTTGCTCTTGCTCAGGCTGGTCTCAAACTCCTGACCTCAAGCAGTCTGCCCCCCACCCCCACCCCAGAGCACTAGGATTATAGGAGTGAGTCACCATGCCTGGCCCCAGACAGATTTTTTTTTTTTTAGAGACAGAGTCTCAAGCTGTTGCCCTGGGTAGAGTGCCATGGCATCATAGGTCACAGCAACCTCCAACTCGGACTCAAGCAATCCTCTTGCCTCACTTTTTCTATTTTTTAGTAGAGACAGCATCTTGCTTTTGCTTACTCTGGTCCCTAATTTGTGAACTCAAGCAATCCACCTGCCTCGGCCTGCCAGAGTACTAGGATTACAGGCATGAGCCACCACACTCAGCGTCCCAGACAGATTTTTAAAGTTGAATTAAGGGAGTTTCTTTCTATTCCTCGCTTACTGAGCCTTTTTTTTTTTTTTTTCAGTTTTTGGCCAGGGCTAGGTTTGAACCCACCACCTCCAGCATATGGGGCTGGCGCCCTACTCCTTTGAGCCACAGACACCACCTGTGAGCCTTCAAAAAATAATAATAATAATCAGGAAAGGAAGAACAGGTAGAGATTTTTAGATAATATTTTTCCAGAGTGTAGTGATATGTTCTTTAATGTTTATTTAGTAATTTAGATTTCCTTATCTTCATGAGCTCAAAACTGAACTTGATCAACGTGTATTATGACTCTTTTGATACACTGGTGGGTCCACCTAATAAAAGGCCTGAAATTTGTGGAATCAACAAGGTTCAGGGCATTTTTAATTTCTTGAGCAGCACTTGGTCTTCTGGGTACATGTTGAACAGATGGATGGATTGATAGGTCTAAAGGCAGGGGCAGCATTATGGGTGCCATCACAGGCCAGGAAGGCAAGAGGGGACCAGTAGGGGGAGAGAGCAATGAACTGAAGCCCAGTTCTAAGTGGGATGAGCAGGGAAGAAAAACCAGGGAGGAACTGATGGACTTGGAGATTGGGCCAGGTGTCATTCCAGCTACTTGCTGGGCTGAGGCAGGAGAATCACTTGAGCCTAGGAAATCAAGGTTGCAGTGAGCTATGATCATGCCTGTGAATAGCCACGGCAATGCAGCCTGGGCAATATAAAAATAGTAAGTAAATAAATATGTCGCCATCTCTAAAAATAGTAAGTAAATAAATACATATTTTAAAAACAAATCAAGACTTGGAGATTGGACATCTGCAGTGCTCAGGGGGTGAAGAGTGAGGTCAAGGGGGCAAGTTGGAACCTGACAAGGTCTACTCAGAGAATGGGATTCTGGAACCTTAAAGATTTATCTGATAAACTGTGTCCTATTTATCCTGGAGCCTTTAGCACCTACCACTACAGTGCCTGGCACTTAGTCGGTGGTTGGTAAATCCTCACTAGATAAATATTCCAGGGATGGAATTCTAGGGAACCATAAGATCCAGGGAAGTGGGCAGTTCCATTGGAAGTGACATTAATGAGGTAATTCATTCATTTATCCAACAATATTTTGAACACCTACCCTGTGGCAGGTACTAAGCTAAGCAGGTGGTGGTGATATAGCAGCAAAACAGTCTGACCTTGCTCTTGTGGAGTTTACAATCCATTGGGGGAAATGAATATGTAATAATCAGATGAGTAACTATATAATTACTACTGGGATTACTGCTTTGAAAGAAAAGGGTGTGAAGAATGACTATAACCAGAGGACTTGATTTAGATTGAGGAACTGACAAGCTGAGACCTGAGAGATGAATAATTTGTCAGGCAAAGAGAACGTGGAAAAGCATTTCAGGCCAGAGGACATTATGCCCAGAGGGTCTAACTGGGAAGATAATGGCATATTGTAGGAATGAAAGGTAGTCCCTGTGGCTGGTGAGGTGGACATAGCTCAGGCCCTACAGGGCCCTACTGGCTACTTTAAGGGCTTTGGATTTCATTCTAAAATGAAAGAGTAAGGAAGAGTTTCACACAAAAGAATATGATTAGATGGTGAAGGAGATTTTTTTAAAGATCATGTGCAAAGAATGCATTTGGTCACACTTCTGACACCATAGTATACTCCATAGTACAGTGTCCTCACTGGTCTGCAAATGGACCTTCCTATTTAATTTTCCCTCGCCCCCCCCCAGCACTTCACCTAATGTGTTTGATGTATTCCTTTAAATACACAGGGTTTTGTAATGTTGTTTTATATGTATATGCAGGGTTTTTTTTTTTTTTTAAATAATATTTCTGGCTCAGTGCCTGTGGCTCAAGTGGCTAAGGCGCCTGCCACATACACCTGAACTGGCAGGTTTGAATCCAGCCCGCCTGCCAAACAACAATGACAACTGCAAAAAATAGCCAGGCGTTGTGGCAGATGCTTGTAATCCCAGCTACCTGGGAGGTGGAGGTAAGAGAATCACTTAAGCCCAGGAGTTGACGGTTGCTGTGAGCTGTGATACCACAGCACTCTACCCAGAATGACAGCTTGAGGCTCTGTCTCCAAAAAAATAATATTTCTATAAAGTGATACATGTTCATTATTTTTAAATTTAAGGAACATGGAAAAATACAGAGAAGTAAAAAATATTGCTCCAGACTGATTATTTAGCGATAGCTATTGTTAGTGTGTGTTTTTTAGTGTAGACAATTTTTAAAACTTATGGTGTGGCACCCATAGCTCAGTGGGTAGGGCACCAGTCACATACACCAAGGCTGGAGGGTTGGAACCCGGCCCAGGCCAGCTAAAACAACAATAACAACTGCAACAACAAAAAAATAGCCGGGTACCTATAGTCCCAGCTACTTGGGAGGCAAGAGTATTGCTTAAGCCCAAGTCTGAGGTTGTTGTGAACCGTGACACCACAGTACCCTACCCAGGGTGACAGCTTGAGATGCTGTTTCAAAAAAAAAAAAATAGTATAGCATGTTAAAGGTCTATCTATAATGTGGTATGTACATCTAATTGATTGTTCCTGCTGCTGCAACAGGACTTCACAATGGGCATCAGCATATTTTATGTGAAATTTGCAATTTCAAACAAAAACTTGAGCTCCTGGGAGCTCAATGATTGGATAAGTGACTAATTGGTTAGATGATAACAACAGTGATGAGAGAGAGTGGGTAGGAGAGCTAGGTGGCCTGAGATTCAAAGGAACTGAGTTTTAAGAGAGAATAAATGGTCAGAAATCAGAAAAGTAGAACCAGGAGCTTCCACTCCAAGCTGGGGGATGAAAGCATGAGCCACCCTCTGTGAAGGATCCCACAGGAGACTTGACCTCTCCAGCAAGGTTTTGGCCAAGGTAAGTCATAGAAGGGGTCTTCTGTGACCTGAGTGGCGAGGAGAGTTTGTTTGCTATGGAAAGGGCACAGGTGGAGCCAGGTGGCAGGGAGGTCATGCGGGGAAAGCTGGTGGAAGATCAGGGAGAATTTGGGTGACAACCCTCTAGTTGGGTGGTAACTATGGAAGAGGACTGTGCAAGGTCTCCAGAGAGACAAATGATTCCATGATTTCACCCAGAAGGTAAAGTGTCTCCATGCTGCCCAGGGGGACTGATGGAGATGGAGAATCTGCTACTTCTGCCCAGTTGACATTTTTTTTTTTTTTTGAGTCAGAGCCTCAAGCTGTCCCCCTGGGTAGAGTGCCGTGGCATTACAGCTCACAGCAACCTCCAACTCCTGGGCTCAAGCGAGTCTCCTGCCTCCGCCTCCCAAGTAGCTGGGACCACAGGCGCCCGCCACAACGCCCGGCTATGTTTTGGTTGCAGCCGTCATTGTTGTTTTGGCGGGTCCGGGCTGGGGATTCGAACCCGCCACCTTAGGTGTACGTGGCTGGCGCCTTAGCCGGTTGAGCCATAGGCGCCGAGCCTGCCCAGTTGACATTTTGCAAGAAAAAACGTTTTCATGCCTGGGGCAAAGCAGGGTGAAGAAGAGACAGAATAAATGTGTGTATGTGTGTGCGCGGGCGTGTGTGTAAGTAGATGGATTGGCAAGCCAGTTTGATCTGAGCTTGGAAGAACCTGGATGATGAGCAGGACCCCTAGCTATGGACGGCTAAGGCTTGAAGCTGTAGGTGGTCCTGGAGATCCTCGGGCGCTGCCCTGCTGGTTATGGGAGAGACCAGTGGACAGGGAGAACTTTTGCCTAAACTTGGGACCCCCTTGCAGCCCTGTTTCCTGCGGTGACATCATGTCTCTGGCAACCTTCCCTTCTCCCCCACTTTGTCCCCTCCCGGCGCCCATAAATCCCAGCGCCTCTCCCCACTCGGGCCCCAATCCCACCTCTCCTCGCCCAGGCAAACCAGCCTTCGGGAACGCGTGGCCGGCTCAGCCGGGATGGCTGCCCTGACTCAGGACACCCGCACAGCATTCTCCCATCAGAAGCTGGACCACGTGTGGACAGACACGCATTACGTAGGGCTGCAGTTCCCCGACCCGTGAGTGCATGGACGGCGGGGGCGTAGTGGGTTGGGGGGCGCGGCGCGAGGGGGCAAGCTCACCACCACCCCTCCTCAGGGCTCAACCCAACACCTTGCACTGGGTCGATGCGGCTGGGACGACCAGCGAGCAGCTGCCTCTGGAAGACCCGGACGCCTACTGTCCCTACAGCGCTACTGGCAACGCCACGGTGAGCGCCTCCAGCCCACGCCCAGGATGGGGGTGGCGCGCATCCTTTCCTGGAAGAGAGTTTCTTGATCTTCCTTGTCCCCAGGGAAAGCTGGTGTACGCCCACTATGGGCGGCCCGAGGACCTGCAGAACCTTCGGGCCAGGGGCGTGGAGCTAGCGGGCTGCCTCCTGCTGGTGCGTGTGGGGGTGATCAGCTTCGCCCAGAAGGTGAGAGACCCTGGAGCGCGCCGGCTGGGGAACCGGAGGTTTGGACTGCCAATGGAAAGTGTCCAGACGGCTTTGAGAAGGAGAAAGGGAAAGTGGGCAGTGAGAAAATGTTGGCTGGGGCTTGGCGCCTTTAGCTCAGCGGCTAGGGCGTGGGGCACATACACTCGGGCTTGCGGGTTCAAACCCGGCCTGGACCTGCCAAACAACTGCAACAAAAAAATAGCCGGGCGTTCGGACGGGCTCCTGTAGTCCCAGCTACTGGAGAGGCTGAGGCAAGAGAATCTTTTAAGCCCAAGAGTTTGAGGTTGCTATGAGCTGTGACGCCAAGGCACTCTACCAAGGGGGACATAGTGAAACTCTGTCTCAAAAAAAGAAAAAAAATGTTGGCTGGGAACAAAATCAGGTTAGGAGCAGTCAAATGGGGTAAGGAACAGGAACACAGTGGGGGAGAGTTGGGGTTGCCAAGGCACTGCCTAGGGTAGCCCTCTGGCTGGCACAACTTCTCTGTGGGATGGGCTCACTGCCCATAGCACAGTGGTTACAGTGCCAGCCACATACACCGAAGTTGGAGGGTTCGAACCTGGCCAGCTAACCAACCATGACAACTCCAATATTTTAAAAAAAAAATTATATATATATATATATAAAATATATATATATATATATAAATAAAGCCGGTTGTTATGGCAGGCGCCTGTAGTCCCAGCTACTCCGGAGGCTGAGGCAAGAGAATCGCTTAAGCCCAAGAGTTGGAGGTTGCTGTGAACTGTGACGCCAGGACACTCTACCAAGGGTGACATAGTGAGACTCTATCTCAAAAAAAACCTTCTCTATGAGAGGGACAGTGGAAGATCAAAGGCCTTGCCACTTCACTTTTTGGGGCTAGTCCTGCCCTTACAAATCATTTTTTTTTTCTGGAAGGAGTCGTATATTCACCTTCCTCCCCCAGGTGGCCAGTGCCCAGGACTTTGGGGCCCGGGGAGTGCTCATATATCCTGACCCAGAAGACTTCTCACAGGGCCCACACAAGCCAGGCCTGTCTAGCCACCAAGCTGTGTATGGACATGTGAGTCTGGAGGAAGCCAGTAGTGCCTTCCTGGGGGTCCAGGCCACAGTTCCTTGTTGGGAGTGAGGTGGCATATTCTTGGAAGCCTCCAGCTTCACTGTGGACACCTCTTTCCCTACAGGTGCACCTGGGAACTGGGGACCCCTACACACCTGGCTTTCCTTCCTTCAATCAAACCCAGTTCCCTCCAGTTGAATCCTCTGGACTCCCCAGCATCCCAGCCCAGCCCATCAGTGCAGATATTGCTTCCTACCTGTTGAGGTGGGAGGAACATGGGGAGCAGGGGAGAGGAGGAGGCAGAGGGAGAGGAGGCTACACCTAGCCCATAGGGTGCTTTTGGGTGAACTAGAACAAAGGTGAGTGGGCACAGCTTCTTGCCAGGGCTCATTGTTCAGAGTTCCTGGGCACCCTTGAGCAGCACACAACCTGCACAACTATCCAAGGCAGCCCTGGCAGCAGTGCCCCTGAGGCAGGGTCCAGAAGTAGAGATTTGGAGCCAAAGGGTGCTTTGGGCTCTTCTGTAGCCTGGGACTCTCTGTCACTTCTAACCTTTTCTGCTTTACTCCTCTCCAGGAAGCTCAAAGGCCCTGTAGCCCCCCAGGAATGGCAGGGGCACCTCCCAGACACCCCTTATCACCTGGGCCCAGGGCCAAGCCTGCAGCTAAGGGTCAACAACTATAGGGCCTCCACCCCCATCAGCAACATCTTTGGCTGCATTGAGGGCATCTCAGAGCCAGGTATGTTTGCTGCCCAGTTTGGGAGGAGAGCCTCTGTTCATAACCATGGCCAGAGATGGGTACAGGAGTGATGCCCAAGAAGGAGGCTCTGGCAAGTTGAGGCTGAGTGGGGACTGATGGGGTTGTGGTGAGGAGACCTGAATAGGCTGGAATGTGCAGTGTTGCACGGTAGTGAGTTCCTCGCTGGAGAGTAGGGCATGAAAGCACTATTATTGATTCCAATAAGCCCCCAGATGAGCACCAAGGGACAGGGAGGCTTGTGGTGGGGCTGAGGTGAGGATGCTGATGGTAGGAGTAGACGGTGGGAAAAGGGCTGGAGAGAGATTTAAAGGGGAAAGCCTGTCAGGACCTGGTAACCAATGGGAGATGACAGACCAGAGAGGGAATAAAGTCCAGAATGACTCCAAATGCCTGGCTGAAGGAGCAGGCTACCCTGGGAGGGACAAGGGGAGAAGCAGCACTCTGTAGGGATAGGAGGGATTGTAAGGCTGGACTGCTAAAATATGAGGGGCTAAGGCACTTGCCTTCCCAGGGTGCAGGGGAAGATTTTGGGTGCTGCCTGTGTAAAAGGTGGGCCCAAACATCCTCTCCCCAGATCACTATGTTGTCATCGGGGCCCAAAGGGATGCATGGGGCCCAGGGGCAGCCCAGTCTGCTGTGGGGACTGCCATACTGCTGGAGCTGGTCCGGACCTTTTCCACCATGGTGAGCAATGGTAAGGTCATGGCCTGGACCAGGCAGAGTATGGGCTGGGGCCTGAGCCAGGACTGGAGTAGAGAAGCAGTTAGGAGTACAGACTGGCAGTGGTCACTTAGACTTGGGCTTCAAATGTGGCTCCTCTGAATCTTGGCTGTTGGGCAAGTTACTTCACCTCTATTTCCTCATCTAAAACTGAAAGTAAAAATAGTCCATGGCTCTGAGTGAAGATTAAGCAGTAGATTCCTTATGGTCCCCATCACTATTACAGTTGAATCAGGGCAGACTCAGGGTGAGGCAAGATGGGATGGAAGAAGGAGAGACCCCAGGGACCAGGACAGAGGAGGACAAAGAGGTAATCTTTGCTTGACCTCCCACCCTCCCTCCCCTTCTGCCCCCAGGCTTCCGGCCTCGAAGGAGTCTTCTCTTCATCAGCTGGGATGGAGGCGACTTTGGGAGCGTGGGTTCCACAGAATGGCTGGAGGTGATGTGGGGTCCTGGGTAGGTGGTCAGGCAGGAGGGTGAGGTAGGGGGCCTATACACCACACTCTTCACCCACAGGGCTATCTCAGCGTGCTGCACCTCAAAGCTGTGGCCTACGTGAGCCTGGACAATGCAGTGCTGGGTGAGCCAGGGCAATGCCACTCCCTGAGCCCCTCAGGTCTCCCCTCATCCTTGGAGCTAAGCCCTGAGCCTGGCACCCCCTCCTCCCCTCTCCAGGGGATGACAAATTCCATGCCAAGACCAGCCCCCTTCTGATCAGCCTCATTGAGAACCTCCTGAAGCAGGCAAGAACCCTACCAGGAGTGGGGAATGGAGGGAAGCCTGCAGGGGCAAAGCCTGACCCATTGCCCCACCTGCCCCCAGGTGGACTCTCCTAACCACAGTGGGCAGACACTCTATGAGCAGGTGGCATTCACTAATCCCAGCTGGGATGCTGAGGTGTAAGTTTGGGTGATGGAGGAACTGGGTGGGCATTGGGGAGCCTGAGCCCACAGACCCCACCACTTGCCCACAGGATCCAGCCACTGCCCATGGACAGCAGTGCCTACTCCTTCACAGCCTTTGTGGGGGTCCCCGCCGTTGAGTTCTCCTTCATGGAGGTGAGACTTCCTCACCCAGCCCCAGAGAGACTGCTAGTCTCCCAGCCTGCCTGCCACTGCCCCAGCCCCACACTGTCCCTGCAGGAGAACCAGGCATACCCGTTCCTGCACACAAAAGAGGACACATATGAGAACTTGCACCAGATACTTCAAGGCCGCCTACCCGCTGTGGCCCAGGCTGTGGCTCAGCTCACTGGGCAACTTCTCATCCGGCTAAGCCATGATCACTTGCTGCCTCTCGACTTCAGTCGCTATGGGGACGTGGTCCTCAGGCACATCGGCAGCCTCAATGAGTACTCTGCGGACCTCAAGGTCTAAGAGGCCAATCTCCCCCAACCCTGGGGGTGGGAGGCACTATATCCCTGTGGAATGCGGCCTAAGCCAGGAGGTTCTGGGTCCTCCCTGCCATCCCTGAATCTAGGTCCCTTCTGGCAACCCGGCCCTGTTCCTCTGGCATCCAGTCTCCTAAGTCCCTGGGACGCAGCTGGTACCCTCCCCAGCCCCCTGGATGTGCCCTCCCCCAATAGCACAGGTACAGGGTCTTCTCTTCTCCCTTCATTCCGCCCCCAGCGCTCTGGACCCCCTGCCAGGCCTAGGGTCTCAGCTCCGTCCCTCAGTACCATGACCCATCCTAGGCTGGGGTTCTGGACTTGCCGCCGACCCCAGCTCTTACCTCCACCTCCAGGCCCGCGGGCTGACTCTGCAGTGGGTGTACTCAGCGCGCGGGGACTACTTTCGGGCAGCAGAGAAGCTGCGGCAGGAGATCTACAGCTCGGAGCAGGACGATGAGCGGCTGATGCGCATGTACAACGTGCGCATCATGAGGGTGAGGCCCCACCCCTGCCCAGTTCTCTCCCCTCCCTCGCCCGGAGTCCTCTTTTGGCTGACCAGGTCCTGTCCTCTGGGCTCTGCCAGTCCTACGTAATCAATGCTTAAAGCTCACAGCGATCCTTGAAGCAGGCCCTGTGAAGTGATGAAATGTACAGGGAAGCGGGCCCCTTGGCCAACACCTGGGCGAACTGGGATTCCCCCCCCCCCTTGGTTCCTCCCTCTCCCACAGCTCCCACTGCCTCCCTCAGCCCTCTGGAGAGAAAAAATATGTCCACAGTGGTCCACAATACAAGAGGGATAAGGTTGCAGCCTGAGAGATCCAAAAAGTTAAAGAAATTCAGTGTGGAGACTTCTCTTACTTCTGGCAATGATATTGATAAAATCCAAAAAGGCTGCCTGGAGTTAGTGTAGTGTGAAAGTTAAACAAGATCTTATTCCCTCGCCAATCCTTCCTGCTTAGCTTTGAATACTTTGCAACCTGTCCTCCATCTCCAGTTCCAATTCCTCCTCCCCTGTTACTTGAGAACTCAACCCTTTGATCTTGAGCAATGTGTGGGTAGCGATAATGGGTGTGGGAAAAGACCTATGGCAAAATCATAAGCAGGGCTATCCTCAGCATGGGCTGAGCAGGGAACCCGCATTGTACATATGGAGTCACATGTGAACATGCATGCACTCAAGGTTTTCAGACAAAACATGTCTGCCCCTTGGAGGTACATGCTGTTTCTTCTTGCTTTTTCCTGTTTGGGTCCTTGCCTGTCTCCCTTGATATCACATTTTCCTTCTTTCTGTTTACAAATATATCCCTCTTGCTATTTCTTCCTGGCTACTTTTCCTGGTCTCTCTCATTCTCCTCCCCTCCTCGATCTCCTTCTCTTCTTATCTCTTTTCATTCTCCTCTTCCCTTTGCTCTCTCTATTGAGAAACATGTGACCCTGGAGTGAGACAAGAGATTGGGCATGGTTCATTTCCATTCAATGATCTTGGTTTAACCTCTGCTGTGTCAGACTATGGAACATAAACAGATATGGTCTCTCCAAAGTTACTCCCCACCCCAGGATAAAGGGCACATGTGTATAAGATGCAGGCACAGGCTCAGGGCTAGACAGGAAAGGACTCAGGACTTCAGAGCAACACAGGACTAGGCCAAACCCAGGGAATATTATAGCGCTAGACCATTGCCAGCAGGCCAAATTCAGCTAGTTCCTTGTTGTGGTAAATAAATTTATTGCAATATATTGCAACACAGCCATGCTCATTGGTATCATCTGTGGATGCTTTTGTGCTACAATGGCAATGTTGAGTAGTTGCAATAGAAGAAGTATGGCCTATGGAGACTAAAATATTTACTGTCTGGCTTTTTCCTAAAAAGTTTGTTTTAGACTGTGTCTTGGATCTTGAAGAATAGGCAGAACTTGGGGTGGTGCAAAGAAAAGAGAACATTTCAGGGTGGAGAGCCCCAGAATAAGGGTGTGGCAATGAAATAGGCTTGGTTTTACTTGGAAGCTGGGTGTGGACCAGTGGAGCCAGAATAGAGGCCCCGTGAAGAGACACAGGGGAGGGGATTCCCAAATTGTGGGTTAGGCATCAACTTTCAGGAGCCTTGAGCACCAGGATAAGAATTGATTTTTAGGGCCTTGGCATCATAGAAATTATGGAGTTTTTTGAGCAGGAAGGAGATGTAGGAGGACTTTGGCCAGAGTGGAAATGGCCTGAAGAGGAAGTAAAGTTAATGAAGACTTCAGTTCTAGGTGAGAGTGACTGGTGGCAGCAGATGCCCATAGTTGGGGACTGGACTGATGTGAGGCATTTAGAAAGAAAAATGGACAGACTGGGTGTTGAGGGCAGAGTAGGAGAATAATAAGTGGAGCTGCATTTATAAAGGGCTACCACATGCTAGGGGCTTTACTTCATTTTCTTCCGTAGGACTCCTCAAATCCCTGTAAGGTTGCTAGTACTGTATGTACAAACGAGGCTCAGGGTGGCTAATGAACTTACCCAAGCTTACACAGTAAGCGGGAGAGTCAAAAGTAGAGACCTGGCAGTCTGCCCCGAAACTTATGCTCACTCCACTCTCATATACCCTTGATATTGAGTGCCTGGCACCTGGTGAAGGCCATGGTGCTCATGAATGCGAGCCCAAATCACAGGTTTTAGGACAGGCAGGTGCTGATATGTGTGAGGCTATATCCAGGTTCTCCCTAACCAGGTGGGGAGGTCAAGAAGGCTGGAGGGCAGGATCCCAGAGGATGATTGAGTGAGATTTGGTAGCTGTCTCCCCAGAGGTTCTGGTTGAAGTGAGGGGCATGGTTGAGCTCTGTGAGTGGATGGATGGAGGCCTTAAAAAGGTATGAGTGTCTGAGACCACCCCCAGATGTTTTGATTTTGCTGGGGTGGTACCCAGAAAAGTCTTCCCTGAATGATTCTAATATGCAGTCAGGGTTGAGAACCACTGGACTGTAGGTATGAGGAAGAGCAGAGGGAAGTGGAACCTGAGATCTGCCCACAAGTCAAGCAGAAGGAACCAGAGAGGCTGGCAGAAGGGTGGGAGGAGACTAGGCCAGAAGTGAGGCCATATCAGGAAAGAGAGAACAGCATCTGGGTCAGAGGGTGATGATGAAGAATAAGGCACTTCGTTAGGACTAGGCTGTCCCCTTGACCTTTGACTCTGGGGCTGTGGACTTTGGCAGAGCTGGCAAAATGACTTGGGCATGGGAAGATATGGCATTAAGAAGTAGAAGAGGCTCACACCTGTAATCCTAGTGCTCTGGGAGGCCAAGGCAGGAGGATCACTTGAGCTCAGAAGTTTGAGACCAATCTGAGCAGAGCAAGACCCATCTCTACTAAAAATAGAAAAATTAACTGGGCTTTCTGGTTCCCACCTATAGTCCCAGCTACTCAAGAGGCTGAGGCAGGAGGTTTGCCTGAACCCAAGAGTTTGAGGTTGCTGAGCTAGGTTGAAGCCATGGCACTCTAGCTTGGATGACTGCGAGAATCTGTTTCAAAGAAAAAGAACAGAAGGATGATAGATTTTCCTTTGAGGCTTTGGGCACAGAAATGAATGGGTGAGGAAGAAAGACTGGGGAGACGTAGCTGCCAACTGGGGGGCTCTAGAGATAGAAGAGGCTAGAACCTGAAACTCAGGTTGGCACATCATACCCAGCTACTGGTGACGTCATAGTATGGCTATTTCTGATTGGACAGCCAAAGGGAGTTGGGATTTAAGCTGCTCAGTCGTGTTTATGGAACAGGTTAAGAGGTCCCAGGCTCGGTTAGGAAAGGCTGGCAGTCGGCAGGAGAGATTCTGGCCTTTGCTCTCAGGGCAGAGCCCTCACCCCGATGAGATCCTCTTCTCGGCGCAGGTGGAATTCTACTTTCTGTCCCAGTACGTGTCGCCGGCAGACTCCCCGTTCCGCCACATCTTCTTGGGTCGTGGAGACCACACTCTGGGCGCCCTGCTCGATCACCTGCAACTGCTGCGCACTAACGGCACTGAGGCGCCTAGGGCCACCTCTTCTAGGGTGGCGCCTGGCCTGGGCTTCCAGGAGAGCCGCTTTCGGCGCCAGCTAGCCCTGCTCACCTGGACGCTGCAAGGAGCAGCCAACGCGCTTAGCGGGGACGTCTGGAACATTGATAACAACTTCTGAGGTCTCCCTGCCCACTCCTGCTTCCCTGCCAGGAACTCCTTTGCTCCCCGCTTGAGTGTGTCAGGGCGAAGGACGTGGCCCAGTGGCCTGTCATTGCTAACCAATCTCATTCGCCCTTTTCGTCTCTCCGTGGGAGCCAAAACTCAGCGCAGACACCCAAACTCCCTAGCCCTGCAGTGTGGGTGAGCAGTCCTTTCATAATGTGATGGTCAGATTATTGGTTAATCAGAGAGCAGCATTCCTTCAATTACAGCTCCTTCCCTTTTCAGGAGCAGGGTCTTCCATACTCGGAGACCACTTTGGAAGATTTGCTAGGCCCTGGGAGATTTGCTTGCCAGCTCTCCTAGTGGGAGAGGTCGCAGGCACCATAGCCTTATGGCCAACAGGCGGTCTAGGATGGAAGTGGTGTGGGATATGGACGTCAATAAACCAACTGGTGACATTGGTTGTTCATAAGCCCCTCATGCTTCTTCCACACCCTCACTCTATCCCATCATCCTTTGAGACCTAGGAAAGGGACCAGAGAGGATGTGTGAGAATGCTGTTTTAATGGGGAAACTGAGCTGGTCCTGTTACCTAGGGAAACCAGTAAGGAAATACTGAAGGCCTTGTTTTCTAAAGACCATTGTGAGGTGGGGGCCTGGCTCTGTTCCTCCTTCTGCCACCAGAGATGGATACATAAGGCTGCACAATTTGCTAGTGCTGGTGCAGAAAGTAAAGGCAGGTCCCTTATTTAAAAAGCAGGAACAGGCTTGGCACCTGTAGCTCAGTGAGTAGGACGCCAGTCACATACACCAAAGCTGTTGGGATCAAGCCTGGCCAGGGCCTGCCAAGCAAAAATGACGACTGCAACCAAAAAATAGCCAGGCATTGTGGCAGGCACCTGTAGTCCTAGCTACTCGGGAGGCTGAGGCAAGAGAGTCACTTAAGCCCAAGAGTTTGAGGTTGCTATGAGCTGTGATGCCACAGCACTCTACCAAGTGTGACATAGTGAGACTCTGTCTCAAAAAAAAAAAAAAAAAAAAAAAAGCAGAAGCAAAGTGTTTTTCCTTTTTCCATGATCTCTCAACCTTTCATGATGTTCTATTTGCTATTTAATGTTCCTCAGGCATGGAGACACACTTCCAAAACATAAATTCAAAGATAAAATTATTAAGAATTTCAAGATGGGCGGCACCTGTGGCTCAGTGAGTAGGGTGCCAGCCCCATATACCGAGGGTGGCTGGTTTGAACCTGGCCCCAGCCAAACTGCAACAAAAAATAGCCGGGTGTTGTGGCGGGTGCCCGTAGTCCCAGCTACTTGGGAGGCTGAGCTAGGAGAATTGCCTAAGCCCAAGAGCTGGAGGTTGCTGTGAGCTGTCATGCCATGGCACTCTACCAAGGGCGACAAAATGAGACTCTCTCTTAAAAAAAAAATAATTTCAAGATGATGGCTGCAGAGCATTAAACCTCAAACACAAGCCTCACTTCTGAGCATGAGGCCCATAAGACTGCAAAGTTGTGATTTATTAGGTTGGTCCTGCTGGGAACATCTACTCCCAGGATCTCCTTTGGCCAATCTTTGCCCAGGAAGAGTGGAGACATTGAGATGAAAGATACAGGAGGGCAAGGAATTCTAAGAGCTGCTGGCACTTTTTATCTAGGTTTTGTTTTGTTTTTGAGACAGCCTCATTCTCTAGCCTTGGCTTGAGTGCAGTGACATCATCATAGCTCACTGCAACCTCAAACTCCCAGGCTCAAGTGAGCCTTCTGCCTCAGTGTCCTGAGTAGCTGGGTGGGACTACAGGCATCCACCACCATGCCTAGCTAATTTTTCTTTCTTTCTTTTTTTTTTTTTTTTTTTGTAGAGATGCCTCAAATGATTCTCCTTCCTTGGCCTCCCAGAGTACTAGGATTACAGGTGTGACCACTGCACTCAGCCTCATTTACCTTCAATCACAGCTGTTACACCCAGGGCAGTCACATAAATTCTAGGGTCCACCTACTTTGTTCTCTCTTGTTCCCAGCATAGTGTGAGAGGTCTCATCCAGCTCCTCAGGACACTGAGAAGTAAAGGCCTCTTAGTCTAGGACTTGGTAAATGCCAGCCCCTGGGTTTCAGGATGCAACTGTCCCGTTTTACTCCCCTAAGCCTTAATTGGTGGGTTCTTAGGACCCTGAAGTAGGGTCAGAAATCTCCTTGACTATTTGCTTCCCTGACACAATCCAAAACAAATTTCCTGAAGCAGCTTCTCAGCCCTTCTTTACCTCGTCCATTTGCTCCATGTGGTAGACAGAATAATAGTCCAGACAAAGATGTCCACGTCCTAATCCCTGAAACCTATGAATGAACATTACCTAGTAAGACTAAATGGACTGGGCAGCGCCTATGGCTCAAAAGGGTAGGGCACTGGCCCCATATGCTGGAGGTGGCGAGTTCAAGCCCAGCCCTGGCCAAAAAAAAAAAAAAAGACTAAATGGACTTTGCAGGCTGGGTGAGGTGGCTCATGCCTATAATCCTAGCACTCTGGGAGGCCCAGGAGGGTGGAGTGCTTGAGCTCACGAGTTCAAGACCAACCTTGGCAAAAGTGAGACCTTGTCTCCACTAAAAATAGAAAAAACTGAGGCAAGAGGATCACTTGAGCCCAAGAGTTGGAGGTTCCTGGAAACCGTGATGCCATGGCACTCTACCCAGGGCAATGGCTTGAGACGCTGTCTCAAAAAATAAATAATAATAATAATAAAAAACCAGACTTTGCTAATGTTACCTTGCGATGAGTAAGTTAAGGATCTTGAGATAAAGAGTATGGTGGGCTGAATTGTACCCCCTCAAGCTGATATGCTGTAGCCCTAACCCCAGTACTTCAGAAAGTGGCTGTGCTTAGAGGCAGAACCTTTAAGGAGGTGGTGAAGTTACAATGAGGCTGTGAAGTTAAAATGGGTCCTAATCTTCAGCGGTGCCTGTGACTCAGTGAGTAGGGTGCCAGCTCCATATACCGAGGGTGGCAGGTTTGAACCCTGCCCCGACCAAACTGCAACAAAAAATAGCCGGGTGTTGTAGTGAGTGCCTGTAGTCTCAGCTATTCGGGAGGCTGAGGCAAGAGAACCACCTATGCCCAAGAGCTGCAGGTTGCTGTGAGCTGAGACACCACGGCACTCTACCAAAAGCAACAAAGTGAGACTCTGTCTCTAAAATAAATAAATAAATAAATGGGTCCTAATCCAATCTGACTGGTATCCTTATAAAAAGAGAAAATTTAGACACAGAGAGATACTAGGGATGTACATGTACAGAGGAAAGACCATGTGAGGACACAGAAGAAACCAAATCTGCTGACACTTCAATCTTGGACTTCTAACATCCAGAACTATGAGAAAATAAATTTCTGTTGTTTAAATTACTTGGTTTGTGGCATTCTTGTTAGGCAGCCTTAGGAAACTAACACAGGGGGATTACCTGGATTAGGGTGGGGGATGTAATCACAAGAGACCTTAAAAGTAGACAAGGAGGTCAGCGATAGAAAAGAGATAGTGAGAAAGGAAAGACAAAAGGTCAAAAAGATTTGAAGATGCTATATTCCTGGCATTAAAGATTAAGGAAGGGGCCACAAAACAAGGAATGCAGATGGCCTCTAGAAGCTGGAAAAGGCAAGGAAATAAGATTCTTCCTCAGTGCCTCCCAAAGGAATGCAGCCCTTGATTTTAGTCTCAGAAGAATAATTTTGGATTTCTAATCCCCATAACTATAAGAGAATAAATTTGTTGTTGTTTTAAACCACTAAGTTTGTGATAATTTGTTGTAGCAGCCATAGGAAACTAGTATATTCCCACTCTGACTGCTGTAAATTCAGTATTGTTTTTTAAAATATCTACTTAAAAAAAAGACTGTGTCCTGGGTGGCACCTGTGGCTATAAGGAGTAGGGCACTGGCCCCAAATGCTGGAGGTGGTGAGTTCAAACCCAGCCCCGGCCAAAAACTGCAAAAAAAAAAAAAAAAAAGTCTGTATCCTAAGTCCCTCCCATCTGCATACCACCCCTTCACAACCGTGTCTCAGAAAGCCTTCTTGACCAAGCCAGCTACAAGGCCTTTTGATAGCAAATACTATCAGGATCACTAACCTGTGTGGTACCTCAAATGCATTTTGGGGACATGGCCACAGCCACTTAAGTGTGAATGGTTTGCTGGGCCATAGCACTAGCCCTCCCCAGACTCCCGGACACAGACTGCAGACCTATTCTCTGTACACTATTGTAGCCACACCCCACTGGGGCCAGCTCTGGGTGTGGCAGGGACAAGACTCCCAGGGTAGTAGGGCAGGTTCCAAGCCCTCAAAGTAAAGCTGGAATAACTGATAACCTTCCAGTGGTTTAACAGACCAGGTCTGTCTTAACAACATTCTTGCTCTTTGTCCCCAGTTAGCAATCAGCCTGGTGTCACTGGCTTTGTGCCTGGGAAGGCAAGTGGGCTGGCAGCCTGCCTTTTTTTCTTTTGATACAGTCTCATTTTTGTCACCCTTAATACAGTGCTGTGGCGTCACCACTCACAGCAACCTCAAACTCCTGGGCTTAAGTGATTCTCTTGCCTCAGCCTTCAAGTACCTGGGACTACAGGCACCCACCATAACACTAGGCTATTTTTAGAGACGGGGTCTCTAAACGTCTAGAGACGTTTGACCCTTGCTCAGGCTGGTCTCAAACCTGTGAGCTCAGGCAATCCACCTGCCTTGGCCTTCTAGAGTGCTGGGATTACACACATGAGCCACCATGCATGGCCCAGCCTGCCTTTTGATGATCCTATTCTTTTCCTGTGCCTTAGTCTCTCCTGCCTGGTTAAGGTGGGCTTATATTAGGCAAAGCCATTTCCCCACATCTTGGTAGGGACCTTGATGTTTCTGATCCATAGGAGTTGAAGTCTTAAAGGAAAGACAAAAATAGATAAAGCGTCAAGAAGGCAGAAGAGGATTCTAGGGATTATAACATGTAGGCAACCCTGGCAGGAAGCTCTGTTGGCTCCAGATGGTGGGACTTGAGTTCTATAACAGGGGCAAGATCAGGTGATATTTTTGTTTGTCTCTTTTTTAGGTACATTGGCTTAAAGGCAGGATTCTCTTTGAGGGTTAAAGCTGATCTTAAGAATCAACTTGCCTGGTGGTGCCTACCCTTAGTGGGTAGGGTGCTGGCCACATATACCAAGGCTAGCAGGTTTGAACCCAGCCTGGGCCAGCTAAACAATGACAAAAAATTGCAACAAAAAAATAGCCAGGCATTGTGGTAGGCACCTGTAGTCCCAGCTACTTGGGAGGCTGAGATAAGAAAATCACTTAAGCCCAAGAGTTTGAGGTTGCTGTGAGCTATGATGCCATGGCAAAAAAACACAGGCTCGGTGCTGATAGCTCAGCAGTTAGGGTGCCAGCCACATACACAGACGCTGGCAGGTTCAAACCCGGACGAGGCTGCCAAACAATGGCAACTACAACAACAAAAAATAGCTGGGTGTTGTGGTGGGTGCCTACAGTCCCAGTTACTTGGGAGGCTGAGGCAAGAGAATTTCTTAAGTCCAAGAGTTTGAGGTTGCTGTGA